TGAATCTATTTCAAGTAGACCATTAGAAAATGTTCATTGTAATTTATGGGGTCTAAGTCATGTTTCTTCTTCTCAAGGATTTAAGTTTTATGTTATTTTTTTGGAAAATTACTCAAGATACACTTGGTTTTATCCCCTGAAGTTTAAATCTGATTTCTTTGCAAATCTTTGTATGCTTTCAAAATATGATAGAGAATCTGTTTGAACTCAAGATATCTCAGTTTCAGTCAGATGCAGAGAGTGAGTTCGTTAACCAACCTTTCCTCACTCACCTGTCAAAATCTGGTATAAAGCATTTGGTTTCTTGTCCGCACACTTCTCAGCAGAATGGTGTCTCAGACAGGAAATATAGACACATAACTAAACTCGGTCTCACTATGCTCTTTCACAGTAAAACTCCTCAAGACCTATGGGTTATAGTGTTTTTCGCAGGTGTGTTTCTTGGTAATCTTCTTCCATCATTTGTGGCTGAAGAGGATAAGAGTCCCTATGAAATACTATACGGTAAGCCTCCAGCTTATACATCTTTGAGGGTGTTTGAATGTCAGTGCTATCCCTATCTGAGACCCTACATGAAAAAAAATCTAGATCCTAAGTCACTGCCGTGTATGTTTGTGGGGTACAATGAAAAGCACAAAGATTACCAATGCTCCTAGTGGAAGAGTATATATCAGCAGAAATGTCTTGTTTGAAGAAAGAAATTTTCCATACTCTGATATATACAGTGGTTATCATAACACTTGGGTTCTCCTCTACTTCAAGCATGGAGTAAAGTGTATCTCAGTTCTGAAAAAGTTTCTGAAAATGGTGATCAATCACTTGCGTTCTTTGAGGAAGAGTTTCCTCCACTCAGATGAGTTCAACCACAACAAATGACACCACCAGTCTCACCACATTTGCTGTTTCCATTGAATGAAGAAGAAGATGACCACCCACACTTTTCATCATTGAGGAGTGATACATAGAGTGATCATGAAGAAGTTGTTCTGGCAGCTGCAGTACCTGTTATACAAGCTCAGCATGTTCATTCAATGAACACAAGAGAAAAATCTGGCATCATTAAGCCAAATCCAAAGTAAGCCTTGTTCACTGTTAAATACACTTACCCGGAGCCAAAATATGTGAAAACTGCGTTGAAGGATAAAGGTTGGACAAAGGTAATGGGTTTTGAAATGGACAACATGGAAGAATCTGAAACTTTTGAGTTGGTTCCACCAGAGGAAGGGTGGAATCCAATTGATTGGGGTTGAATTTACAAAACAAAGCTCAACGCAGATGGTACTATATTTAACTCAGAGCACGGTTAGTGGCTAGAGGGAATCAACAAGAATAATGGATTGATTTCTTAGTTACATTCAGTCATGTTTTCAAAACTGCAACTATCAGGACTGTACTTCATGTAGTCGTGACCAAGAAGTGGAGTATTGATATCACTCAAATGTTTTACCCTAAGGAGTGATTTACTCTCTCAAATAAGAGGTTCAATCGTAGTACTTAGGGATCGAATCCACAAGGAACTAGAGTCACAAAAGATATAATCCTAAGTGATTAAGCTAGGTTGATTAGGTTTAAAACAATAAATAAAAGTTGGTAGCAATGGCAAGTTGCTAAGGAAAATAGGTTTTGGGTTTTAAAACAGTAAAAGAAAGTAGTTAGATTCAAGGTTACTATTCTGAAAATCAGGATTATAATTCTATGGATGTCTTAACGAATTGCTTGCAAATATATGAGAACTTCAATCCTTAGACAAATCTATATCTGTTGCTATTAGACTCGTCCATTGATCTGATTGCCGACAGTATCGATCGATGTTGCTATCGCAGTGTCGATCGATATGTTTTGCCGTCGATCGATATGTTTTGCCGTCGATCGATGACTCTATAGGAGTATCGATCGATATAGCATCAGATCGAATTGAAACTGTGTTCACCCGAGAATTTCTATTAAACCGCCTATCGCACGTGCCTAATAGAGTCTGGGCTTAGCCAAATGATTTCATGATAATGACTATAAGATTAGTCACTCCATAATCAAAACTCTAGGTAGCAAATCTAGAGTAAGCATTAGGGTTAATTTGGATAATGAATATAACAACTCAAAACTCCATAGTTGGGGCTAATCCCTCATAACTATTTGAACCCCAAATCTAAAAAATGAATCTACTCAGACATAGCCAAGAGATTCATAGCAAAAGAATAAGATGAAAAGAAAATACTTTATTGCTAAGTATATAATAGAATACAAAACTTAGATAAAAACTCAAGGTGGGCTGTTACAAGGTACAACTTACGCACTGATTATCCACCACTACGTTGTAGTTTTTGTTTGGTGATAAACAATGGTTATACGTTCTTGGTTCTGTTCTTCAAACAAGCAGAGAGGAAAAAATGATTTTTTCTTTTAATTGAGCAACTTAATGAGCAACTTGACACGTGACTAGTATATACCACTTCTGTAGAGCCAAGATACCATTATATAATTAAAAAAAGAATCTTTCTTTTCAAATAATCTCTATATCTAACACAGAGAGAAGTGTTATCGAAAAAGTAGCATGCTATTATTTATTTATTTTGTGGTAAATATTGTTTAAACGAATATATTTTCATACCCAATTTTTTTTAATTCAATTGCAATGACGCATAACATGAAGACATGTTCATAATCTATTAAGAAGTGCAAAATCTTCTCTTCTAAACTTAGTGAGTTCTCTTATCTCTTTTATATTATGAATGCATTGAGTAGAAATTGGGTACTAGGACATGGATTGTGGCATATAGATGAATGTGACATGGATTGTGTCATATAGATGAATGTGACATGGATTGTGGCATATAAATGAATGTGGCATAAGCCCTAGCTAGCTAATAAGCCATGGTTAGATCATTCATGAATGGGTAAAACAAAGATTATTGTTGGGAGTGAATTGGAAAAGATTTTTGGCCAAGATATAAAAAGAGCTATGCTGTTTCTGTTGGAACTATTTTCTGAACATAATAAATAGAATATTCATGTTATTTAAATGAGAAATGAAGGTCCAATGTAACTTGTATAAAGTAGCAAATGTATATATTGAATATTTGATTGGATTTGAGTTTTGATTTGTGTTGGATTTCATATTCACTAACTTAATCTTATAAACCAAATAATGTTGAATCTTTTATATTGATAAAATATATAAAAAGATTCATTTAAAGTATATTTTTAAAAAATTAGCAGCATAATAATAACTTTATACTCTTTAATTTCTTGATCAAAATGTGAAATAAGTTCACATAATAATTGACAAGAATTGAAGTCTCCATTAGTGCACTATGGATGTTTCATTTCTAAGTTGAAAGTGAAACTTTTGCTTCTCATTTTTTTTTTTTTATAAAATGGTGTGTTAGCATTATAGAAAATACATACATCCATGAACAAATAGAAGAAATAATTCTCCCATTTAGAATAGTTATGGTAATATATTTTTTTTTTTGTGTATGAGAGTACAACACAAAAAGATGTTTGTTAGCTTCTATTCGGAGTGATGCATAATAGTCGAAGTGTGGTTATATAATGCGATTCTGATTACGAAGCACCGTCACACTTCCGGCAATTGAACAATTAAGGAAAGAGTATCTCGTCTCCACACGACACCGTTCTTTGTTCATCATAATTTGGTATCAAATATTGTATATTTTTTTTTCTGTTTTTATCATTATATAAACAAATTATTAAGTTTTCCATATCGTAGAAATCATAGTCATGCATTGACTTTGTTACTAGTGTGTCTACTACTCCAGAATTAGCTCTTGATTGTGTTCCTACTTTTGTTGTTACTGATACTGTTGCAGTAGCTACTGGTGATGTTGAGACGGTTCCATCCACTACAATCATGACTACACCTTCTGTTGTGATGAGGCTTTAATTTCAACATCTACAACATAAATTGAAGAAACCACTTCCACCATTCACTAATTCAAAAACTCTAGTCCTTAAGCAAGGCTTCTATTGCACAAAATGTCTCATCTACAAATATTCTGAATATTTCTCCCATCACTCTATTAGCAACTTCTCTACCTTTTCTGATATGGTAAATATCTTGATTTCTTTTCCCCTAACAGTTTCAGTATCTGAGCAGAACCGGTCTTAAGTTTTTCGGGCCATAAGTCTAAAACAAAAAAAGCTAAAAAAGACTAAAAAAAAAACTTTGCACTTAATAAGAATTGTGTCCTCTCATGTGGTTATAAGGCAAAACTAACCAGACCATTGACATTTCTAACAAATTTTTGGCCGGTTAAACACTATGGGTTTCCTTCGCTTGCGCCCAGAATCGTCTCTGTGTCTGAGACTGTGCCAAAGATCATTAGTAGAAAATTTGATGTTTGATGCATTTGAACTGAAAGCTTGAAGATATGAGATGGATGATGCTTCTTCTCACACAACCTGTAGAGGAAAGAATATAAAACCTTCCTAGGAGATACAAGAAATGCAGTGGACCTCGGTGCATGGCTGTGGATACATAGAGGAGACCCTGGGTCATTAAGTAGGTTTACTAGTGTGATCTCTTCTACTTTTTTTGTATGAATTCTACGTAAATGTGTTGTCTGGAATATGACCCAAAATTCATATTCTTGTATTATTTTCCCCATTATAATAGCAAGTTTTTATTTGAAAAATGCCATTTAATAAAATTAAGAACTTATTTTGATAAGGTTGAAGAAACATTAAAAAAAAATCATAGCAGAATTGTTAACACCTTTATCCTTACCTATTTAGGGTATTAAAGAAAGCTTGAATCTGTCTTTTTTTTTCGAGAACACGAATATGCCATTTTTATTAAAATATAAAATAAGATGAAATTCTTTGATAAAAAAAAGATGAAATCCATTGTTGACAAAAAGACAAAATAAATTATTTATTAACTTTTTAGTCAGCCATAAATTATTTATAACTAGCTGGGGCCAATCTGGTAGTTTATCTGCCACTGAAATCTTCTCACTTCTCAAACCTTGATTGACAGATCATTTTCCTACAGATAAAGAGGAACAATCTCTTTTACAACGTTTCATTTCGTTCATAAGATTCGATAAAATTCATAAATTAGTTAATATAAAACTTATAAGAGGCCTTTTTTTTTAACATAAACAATCATTAACTCATAAGAGTCCTATATAAACTAATAACGACACTAAACTTTAGTTACCTTTTCTCAAGCACTTCTCAAATTTTCTCATGTGAGGATCAAGATATTGGCCGCCGGCATCATATCTTTCATCATATGGTCCATATGGTGACCTGAAAAAAAATGATTTTCCTTTATAACGAAGGAGTAATTGATTTTCTAAAAAATACGATAAACTTATTAGTAAAATATTCTTGATATAATCATGAATTGATTAGATGATGAACACAAATAGCATGAAAAAAAATAGCATGAAACATGATTAGGGCGTAGTAAAAAAGGTATGAAACATGATTCCCTAACTAAATGTTAAATCAACAGTTTTCTACTTAGTTACGTCATCTACATCTTAGAATAAATTACCTTATATTTGTTGGCCAGAAATATAAACAAGAATATATAAGTTATCTGATTCATAAAAATATTTCTTTCATTTGTAAATTTCCTATTGTTAATCATCAACTGGCTTCAGTAAAAACAAAATAAATAGAATCTAACGGAGGACCGCAGGGGTCCCACGTGAAACTATAATTTTTTTTTTTTTTTAAAGGGTTGAAGAAATAATTTCTAATAAGAGTAATCGACCTGAAGACGAATAAATCTCCATAACCAATACTTTCTATATATTGAGTATCACGCATATAGAAAATAGGGTAAATATATTATAATATGTAACAGGTTAGATTGAAAACCTTTCTTCACGAAGACTAGAAAGACTATCTGTGAATGGTTCATCATTTTCTCCTGGCGAGATGATCCTCTGCACTTTTAGAATAGCCACATTATACTCTCCGTAGATTTAGCTTACTTCTATAAAATAAGGATTTAGACAAAACGTACCGTTCGTTTAGCAGAAGATGGTGATTCTTCAAACTCAAATTGGTTACTTTCTGGTCGATGTCTTCTCTGTGACATACATTTATAAATAACTTTTGAGTGCATATGTATAAATAAGATATTGATACACGTTTATGTGGTTGCTGTTTACTAATGTGTCAGGTGCAAGATGGTGAGTTGACGATTGTCCATTGATCATATGGCCTCCAATTTGCTTTTTGAAGCAATGTACAGTAGTTAATATTTAGCAGTTAGTTATCGCGTATATTTATGTAGAAAGTTTTTTCTATAAAACAATTATATGATTTGATTTTTTATATTTTTTGGCGTACAATTATATGGTTTCATTCATTGCATAAATAGTGTTTGTGTTGTACCTGCAGAAGTAAGGATGAGTTTGTGATCGGACGTATATGTGTCTGGTTGTTAAGGCAAGGGGATTTAAAACTTGATGAACGTTGATCAATCAACCCTTGCATGCCACTATACTGCCTATAAAAGAGGATCCAAAAATAGTAAGTTTCGTTTCAGATATCAGCGATAATCATTTTGGAGGACAAAATCTTATTTTATATATAGTGAAAAATCGGCCAAGGCTGGATACCTTGAAGAATCTGAGGGCACTTGTGATCTGGGTATGAGCGAAACGTTACATTGTGCATTTGTGCTCGAGCTCGGGTTCATGCATGGGAGACTGTTAAGAATATGCCATGTAGGAACCCAATAAATTTAGCGAAACAAACATATAGCTTATAATAAAATGCACATATAAATACATATACCTAGTTGAAGCATTAAGCATCATTGAGGCTGAACTTTTGTTTTGTCCGCCAACTAAAGAAGATGGCGCTAGTGGTTGCTGACTATGCATGCCAGAAGATGAAGCAAATGGGACATCTTGATATGTTGCACTTGACAAACAGCCTGGTGCTCTGCTTTTCGCCAAAATAAGTTTTTATCAAAACTCTCATATGAATTTATAAGTAGAAAACTTTCATTTGGTTAGGACATCAATTTGGATGGAATTATTGGATACTATGTGAGTTGAATTATTTGAATTGCCAGCCATATGGTAATACCAATTATTATAGGTTTCGTATTGATTGTTCAGCAAAGGTTTCCTGAATTACTTAATTAAAAAGTTGCTTTTGAGTTAAACATACCCAAATGTAGAAGTAGGATCATAAAGACGACGAAATTGTTGTTGATGCTGCTGCTGCATTTGAACCTAGATATTTAGTATTTGGTTTAGAGATAAATTAACTAAAATTTTGAGTTAATAAAAGAAGTAAAATAAAAAATGTTTCATTGTACCATTGTAGGATTATTTGGCTCTTGAAGTGCAGTAATCCTTGCATTCGGTTGCTGACTGACTCCCGTCAGTGTTTCAGATTGTCTTGGGGCACTGTCCATCATTCTCTGATTGTATAAACCTTGATTATTTGGCTGTACATGGAAGTTATTTCCGTGTTGTTGCTGCTGACGATAAGATTGATTGAAAAATCAGATATTAATATAAGTACTATAAAGAACTTTTTTGAAGGTGCAAGTAACTTACTATTGCATGACGACTTTGAGTAGAGATACAGTGGTTATTAAGGTTTCCCTCAGTTCCTAATAATGATGGTTGCAGTTGCTGACAATACATGCCAAAGGATGAAGAAATTGTGATACTTTAGTTTGACATATTTGATAAGCAATTACTTGTCATGTAGTTTATGAAATTATTTTAAAATTTTCTAAACATGAGGATTGACAAAGCGTACCCTTCGGCTAACAGAAGATGATTCTCCACGTTCCAACGGATGTTGGTTACATTGTCGTTGACATCTTCTCTGTAACTTACATTTATAAATATTTTTAGTGCATATATAATCATATAACATATACTAATGCAAATAATTAACTATAAAAAGTACATATATATGGTTGTTGCTTACCGATGTGTCAATGGCGAGATGGCGTGTTGACGATTGTCCATTGATCTGGCCTCCAGCTTCCTATTTGGAGGCCAATAGTCATAAATATGTAGTTAATTAACTTGTAACATTAATAGTAAAAAGAAATCGCAGAAAAACAATAAAATGGTTTCGTTTATCGTTAAAAAATGTTTGTACCGGCTGAGGTGTAGATGAGTTTACGAAACGTCTATGCGTCTGATTGTTACCGCACTGCCTATAAAATGGGATCAAAAAATAATATGCTTGTTTTCAAAATAAGCAATAGTCATTTGGACAAAAGCTTATTTATCTACTCGATACCTTGAAGAGCTTGAGGACAACTGAGGCCTGGACACGGGCGATATATTATATTGTGGATTAGTGCTCGAGCTGGGGTGCATGTAAGGTAGACGTTGTTGAGAACATGTCCTGTAGGAACCCGATAAATTTAGAAAGAGAATAAATAGTTGTAACTTTTTGCTATACACACACACATGTAATGAGAGAGGAATATGTTACTATTATATAGGAAACTTGAATGATTACATAACTTAATTTTATCTTTTTTATTTTGTATGCGAAAAAATAGTAGCACAAAAATTGTGTGTCAATTGTAGCACTCAAAGCATGTACGTGAAAAACTTAATCACAAATCAAGGGATTGTTTTTCCTAAACATTTCTCGTTTTTCTTCTAATATATTCAAGAAAATGTGATCTTATGTTGTACCTTGAGGCTAAAGGCTCTTCTTGCTGGCCAACTAAAGAGGATGGCACTAATGGTTGCTCTCCATACATACCAGAAGATGAAGACAATGGGACATGTTGATATGGCACAGTTGATAAACAGTTCGGTGTCCTGCTTTAAAAAAAAAACAAAATATTGTATCAAATGATTTTATATAAAATGTTGTCTTTAAGTATCAATACCAGTTTGGAGTGGGTATATCAGGCTCATAGTTTAACTCATCAAGCATATTGGGATTTCCCTCATTCTCTGCCGTTAAACGCTGCAATATTTCATTTGAAATTGCACAAAAATAAAACTAAAATGTTTATCATCAACAACTCATAATCAATAAACTAGATAAAAATTAAAGTGAACAAAACAAAAATTACCATCAGAGGTTCAGAAGATCCTGCAGAAGCAGGATGTAGATCTTCAGACAAGTTGCCTTGAAAACTCATATTTGCTAGTTTTGGCTAAAATTGAAAAATGAGAAATGAAATGATATGTTTATATTAGGTATATATATATATATGTATGTGTGTGTGTGACAGATTATATTTACACATTCGTGTATGTAATGCATTTACATACATAACAGTGGCCAAAAAATTAATAGAAAAGGAAATCTAAAGAAAGATATAAATAAAAGTCGAGCTTACATAAAATCAGAGTATGCACCCATACACACACACAAAAAAAATTGAAACTAGGTTCTGCGCATTTTACCCAGGCTCAAAAACCCAAATCGAACTAAAAAATGGTTTGTCGGATACAGTAATGTCATTTTACTCATTGGGTCTGATTGTGGAGAATCCGCTGGTCTTGGATCTGATCTGAATCCGAGACACGATGAAGTATTTAAATACTCAAATTTTTTATTATATATTAGGTGTATATAGGTGTTTCAGTATATTTTAACATTACATATATTTTCTTAAGTTTTTGATTTATGTTTTCGGGTATAGTTTTGAGTTTCAGATAAAATTTTAGATTTTAAAAATATAATTTGGATAATCGAATAAAATTTTGGATTTTTTTATATTTCGGGTTAGATTTTGGATAAAATTTTGGGTATTCAAATATTTGTAGGTACTTTTTGGGTTTCGATATTTTCTCGGGTCTTTGTTCTCCTTTTGGTATCCGAACCGATCTGAAATCATTATTAACCAAAAAATAGCGGATATTCACAGTTTTTAGACAACTAAATCCGAATAGATCTAGATCTAACATAACAAGAACCGACATATTCTAATTATTTTATTGGATATAAATATCTAAAAATCAAAAACTCGAAATGCCAAACAAATAAAGTCACCCAAAAGAATATGATTATTTTACAAAAATCTCATATATGAATTTCATTATCAAAATAAAATTTTGTTTGAAAAACTTAGATGATGAAAGTGAAAACAATCTTTTACCTAGAAATCAATGAAACATCATATAAATTTAATTTAGAAGAAGTTTTCTGGGATAAATTTGTTTGGTGAACTTTGTGTGAACAAATCTATGGAAGTGACGAAAGATAAATGAAAACATGTCTTTACATGTAAATCGTACAAAGATAAAGTTAAATACTGATGAAATATAACTGAAACCCCCTAAAAGGATTTTGTCTCCGACAACTCAACATATAATATGGCTTTATCTCAAATTGGTTTTGCATCAAAGCTTATATACAAAGAACGTCAGATAGAAAGATGTGAACGAATAACAATGAGAGAGACTTACTGGAATCTAATTGCGAGATATTGAATGGGAAAGAGGTGTCTATTGAAAGTGAAACATTACACCATATTAAATAGACAAAAAAAAAGTTGTGTAGCTTATCTTTTTCACTGACATGTGGTTAAAAAAAAAGCTGGCTTCGGTTCCTATTGAAAACAAAAACAAAATATTTTTTTCGGAGAAAAATACGATATAGGATGTTTTTTATATTTTAAAAATTATGTTTAAATAGTTATATACAAACACGCTATACATTAAAACGGTTATTTAGAATCCGATATATTTAAAGCTACAGCGATGTTCATTAATTATATAAAATTAATCATTTTCTTATATAGTTTTATAAACTATGCTTATTATTATACCTAAAATGTAATATTCCAGAAATATTTAATACCATATATATATACATATCCAAATTTATGCCCAGAAAACCTTTAGTGTCTTCTTGTAGATTTGTAAACGTTACTCTTTCAAGAAATTATTTCACATTACCAGATTTACGAGCTCTTAAAATGGAAAAAAAGAAAATTTAAATTTTACTAATCTGACTTTGTTAGATGAAATCTACATAGACCAAAGTTACCGTTTCTGATTGAGCTACCTTATCTTTTTTTTTTGGGGTCAAATCCTCATCTAAGAATCTAAAATTAACCAATCATCATTAGCTCTCTTGATTACATATAATCTCCAGTGTTTTCTAAATAAGTGGTAGGAATACGATTTTTTCTAAATAAACATTTTTGGTGAAATCATTATAAAATTAAGAACCTTTAGACAATAATGGTAATTTTGGGAAATAATATTTCCAAATCCTACTATATAATGAGCTGTTTTCTCACCTGTTTACAGCTCACCTCTTTTTCAAAAACTTATAGAAAGAAAGATAATAAAAGGAAACAGAATATTTGAAGGAGTAATATATAAAAAATATATTTCATTTGTTTCATAACAAGTGTCATTTAGACACATTTCACATATATTAAGAAAATACTAAATATACTAATTTACTTTTATTTATTATACAATTATTTAAATAAAAATAATTTAACTAAATATCTATTGGTTAATTAAAAGGATACGAGAGAGATTTAGTGTAAAAACAATCCATTGGAAATGTAGAATGACATTTATTTTAAAACAAAATTAGAAAAAAAACTAAAATGATACTTTTTATATGAAATAGAATGAGTAAAATTTATTATTACAGTTTTATAAAGTTTTTCTATAATTTCTCTATAGTTATTAAAAAAACATTAGTAAATATACTTTTATGTTAAACCTATTTTTCTTACATTTTTTGGGAAATACAACATTGTGCTCTATAATAGGCCCAAGCCCACTTTAGTGTAGATACAAGGTGAAACTCTGGCTCACCATAGGCCCAAGCCCAATTCCAACCACTTTCACCATCACTAACTTGAACGTCCTAGGTGTAAACACAGTATAACATCATTAGAAGAAGACGATGAAACAAACAGAATAAAAGATGTTTATCAAATCAGAGAATCCAATAACTAAGACCATGTCCATCAGGGCCTTTTATGAGGTTCATAGGCAAGCCCCTTAGCACTTTTTGAATTAAAAATGAATATAATATCGAGCATGTGTTAGAGGCACCCCTTAGATAAGTGTTTTTAGAGGCAAGTCCTTAGCAACGTGTCACGAAATGAGTGGGCCTTCGGTTTACCAAGTCGGTGTGAGGAAAAAAACACACTTCATTTTACGTGAGAGAAAGAAAAAAAAAGCTCTGAGGGCGATATAGAGGCGATTCGAAGGTCTTCAAACCGGGGAAGGTAAATCTATGATTGCAGGTTTAATCGGAATTTTCTGGGGTTGATTAATGGTTTTGTACTTCTTCCTTCGTCTTTTCCTTTCTATTTCTTGCTCGATTAGGGTTTAAAATCGATTTCGGAATCGATTTATAAACTAGGGTCTTCTCAAGGGTTCGATGATGATGTGGGATATGATTATATGTTTCCGATTTGTGGCTTTCGTCTTGTTTTGGTTTTGATTATGAGCAATTATAGGTTTTAAAATCGATTTAGTGTTCGGTTTTGAGTTGTTCAGGTTTTCAAATCGATTTAGGGTTCGTGTTCGAGTTGTTTAGGTTTTAATAGATTTAGAGTTCGTTTCGAGTTGTTTATGTATTCAAATCGAGTTAGGCCTCCTACTCGAGTTGTTTAGGTTTTTAAATAGAGTGACGGTTTGTTTTTGAAATTGATTTAGGGTTCATTTTAGGTAAGTTAGGCTATAAATTAATCGTTAATATACACTTAGTTTTAGAGCCTTCACGGCTTTGTCACTAGAAGTCTATGTCCCTGGCTTCAACGCCTATTGTCGGTATATAATGGTTCATGAGTGGTTCCTTATGATGTTTGCTTTCTATGAGCTTAATGTTTTAATGTTGTTTAGTGATTTTGTATAGTCATTAATGGATTGCAGGTTAGCAAAGTGACGAGAGGAGATCTATGAAGGTGCATAAGTCCTACTTCGAGACCCTACATTTTGTGACAGACTCGATGTAAGGAATCCAAGAAAGGTGTGTATGTGGAGAACGATTAGAGTGCGAGAGAGCTCCAGAAGAGGTCTTTGACTACATTTCAGGGAAGAGGTTCTTCACCTGCAAGAAGTACAAGGTTAGTGAATTACATTTGGTATTTCTTTCTGCGTTGAGTTCTCAAACTAGAAAATGTAATGAAACTTGTGTTTTTTTTTTTGTTTTTATGATGATGGACTGCATTACAGGCAGCCATGGGTCTGTGCAGTGGAGGAAGAGCTAGGAATCATGAAAACGAGGTTGGATAAATGTGAAGAGCGTAATATAGGGTGAGTTGCCTTTTCGTTTAAGATTTATGTTATATGACTGCATTCTTGAAAATATTGACTAATGTTTATAAAATTTGCAGGCAGAGGTGGAGAAGCTGATAGCTAGAGTGTCTGAGCTTGAGTATGCCGCTTAAGATTAGTTTCAGAACTCTCTCTATTTGTTACAAAATGAATAAGTTTAAGAACTCAACTAAATTCGAAATCATTTCACACTTTCTAGTTTGAGAACTCAACTAAATTTGAATTAATTTCAAACTTTCTAGTTTGAAATAGTCTTAAATTCAACTGCATTGATTTGATTTGTCTTTAAGACTAAAAATTTCTATATGCATTGAGTTGATTCGATAGTGTTAGAGTACACAAAATTTAACGTGGTGGTTAGGTTTAGGTTAAAGACAGTAAATACATCATTTATGGTAGAAACACACAACTTAAATACAACCAAACTCAACTCTGAACTTAACCAAAACACACAAACTTAAGAAATGACACCTTATTCCCAAGGGTTTGTGAACCTACTAACAAGCCAGACCGGAGAATCTAGCACTTCAGGGTTTGTGAACCTCTCCGAATCTCAATCAATAGACCTCGAGTCACCTGATATTCCATCTTTTAGCAGCCCCTGTTCAGAAGCTCCTACTGTCAAGGAGAGGAGGAAATGATCTTCCAAAGAGGATGTTATTCTCATAAGTTCATGGCTCAACACCAGCAAGAATCTAATAGTAGGGAATGAGCAGAGGTGTGGAACGTTTTGGAAGAGGATCCAGAATTAATACAACTCAAGTGCTCAGCATGCTGGTTTGGAGCCTAGGGAACTAGGCCAGTGCAAGCAGAGATGGGGAAGGATTAATGACCTAGTCTCCAAATTATGTGGTTGCTATGATGCGGTTTTGAGGGACCA